ATTATTGAGATTAGGCACGTCTTGTCTTTTGTTTACAAAACAAACAACAATGGTGTGATGTCGAGAAAGAGAGGCCAGGGGTAAAGAATGGGGAAATCAAGGGGAAAGCTCTCTCGCCCCTCTTCCTTTTGGAGAGATCTCTTTACAGAAGACAACCAGGGTGGGTTGAGGTTTTGCCATGGAAAGGAGAGAGGGGAGAGGTAAACAATGGGGGCAACCAGAGCAGGCATGGGCCAAGTCGGGCCTTCTAGGTGTTGTGGATGGCAACTCCCATCATTCCTAACAGCCTCAGGCCCCTACCTTTTCCCTCTCAGCCGCTTAAGCGAGGAATGGTGGGAGTTGAAGTCCAAAACACCTAGAATGGTAGGAGTTGGAAGTCCAAAACACCCCAAAAGGAAAGGACCTAAGGCTGTTAGGAATGGTGGGAATTGAAATCCTAAAAACCCCCAAAGAAAAGGGCCTAAGGCTGTTAGGAATAGGGGTAGTTGAAGTCCAAAACACCCCCAAAGGAAAGGACCTAAGGCTGTTAGGAACGATGGGAATTGAAGTCCTAAAACCCCCCAAAGGAAAGGACCTAAGGCTGTTAGGAATAGTTGGAATTGAAGTCCTAAACACCCCCAAAGAAAAGGGCCTAAGGCTGTTAGGAATAGTTGGAATTGAAGTCCTAAACACCCCCAAAGAAAAGGGCCTGTTAGAAATTGTGGGAGTTAAAGTCCAAAACACCCCAAAAGGAAAGGACCTGAGGCTGCTAGGAATTGTGGGAGTTGAAGTCGAATACACCCCAAAAAGAAGGGCCTGCGGCTGTTAGGAATGGTGGGAATTGAAGTCCAAAACACCCCAAAAGGAAAGGGCCTGAGGCTGCTAGGAATGGTGGGAGTTGAAGTCCAAAACACCCCAAAAGGAAAGGGCCTAAGGCTGTTAGGAATGGTGGGAATTGAAGTCCAAAACACCCCCAAAGGAAAGGGCCTGAGGCTGTTAGGAATGGTGGGAGTTGAAGTCCAAAACACCTAGAAGGCCCAACTTGGCCCAAGCCTGATAATAAAGATAGCATGGAAGCATGACAGTCAATAATCATAATAGTAATAATAAGGATAGCATGGAGGCAGGGCAGTTCAACTGCATTCATTCCAAGGGAAGGGAAAGGACATACATTAATGGGGGAAAAACACACACTTTCTGCGTTGGTTTCATGACATGGGATGATCAACAAGAAGGTCTTCTTCCCCAGCTTTGGGTTTGCTTTGGCAGCGAAAGGAAGGAAGAGGGAGAGAAAGAAGAGTGGAGGAATTGCTCAGGCTGGATCTGCACCCTTTCTGAATCCGGAAGATCTAGCTTGGGATCTCATAACAGCACAGACACCTCTCCCTTCAATGATTCAAAGCAGATGACCTGGAGTCTGGAAGGGGATGGAGATCCCTCAGGATGGATGGAGAGGAGACTCCTGGTTCTGAATCCAGAGGGTCTGCTCTGGAGGAGAGGAGTCTACACTGGTGTCCCATCTGGTTCAAGGCAGGTCTGGAGTCAGGTACATTACAGACTCCTCTCCCTCTTGTTCAAAGCAGATCACCTGGAGTCAGGAACGGGTGGAGATCCCTCAGGATGGATGGAAACTCCAAGTTCTGAATCCAGATTGTCTGCTCTGGAGGAGAGGAGTCTACGCTGTTGTCTGATCCAGTCTGGAGTCAGGCCCCTTTCTATTCTGCCATTTAATCTGGATTATCAGAGCACATGATCCACATGGTGTTTTGAACTGGATTATATGAGTCCACCCTGCCAGATAATCCAGTCCAAAGAAGATAATCTGGATGTGTATGTGGCAGTGTAGAAGAGGCCTCCAGATTGTCTGCTTTGAACCAGATTATATGAGTCCACATTGCCACATAATCCAGTCCAAAAACAGATAATCTGGATTTGTATATGGCAGTGTAGAAGGGGCCTCCAGATTGTCTTTTTTAACCGGATTATATGGCACCATGGACTCATATAATCCAGTACATGTGAATTATCTACTTTGACAATCTGGATAATGGGACAGCATAGATACAAACTCAGAATGGATCCAGGCTGCCATCCAATCCGGTTCCTGAGTCCAACTGGAAAAGAGAGGAGTCCACACTGTGTTTTGATCCAGTTCAGAGCAGATCTGGAGTCAGAAATGGAAGGGGATTGTTCAGACCCCATATACAAAACTCAGATTATCTGCTTTGAGCTGGATTATAAAGCAGTGTAGACTCTGGCTTCTTCTGTGCTGCCATATAAAAAGAGGCCATGCACATGATCTGTTTTGAACTGGATCATCTGAATCTACACTGCCATATAATCCAGATTAAATCAGATCATCCACATGATCAGTTTTGAAGATTATGGAGGCTCCTTCCATGCAGCTGTAGAAAAACCACATTGAACTGGATGATATGGCAGTGTGGGCTCAGATAACCCAGTTCAAAGCAGATATTGTGGATGATCTGCCTTGACATTCTGGGTCATATGAGTGTGAGGAAGGACCTTGAAGGCTACACTGTCATATAACCCAGCTCAAAGCAGATATTGTAGATTACCTGCCTTGATATTTTGGTTTATATGGCTGGGAGGAAGGGCCTTGAGTCTAGGGTGTTAGGAATTGTGGGAGTTGAAGTCCAAAACAACTGGAGTGCCCAAGTTGGCCCATGCCTGGTCTAGGGTGCCATATAACCCATATTGTGGATGATCTGCCTTGATATTTTGGGTCATATGGCTGCTGGAAGGGCCCTGAATCTTCCCTGCCATATAACTCAGCTCAAAACAGGTATTGTGGATGATCTGTCTTGATATTCTGGATCATATGGCTGTTTGGGCTCAGATAACCCAGCTCAAAGCAGATATTGTGGATGATCTGTCTTGATATTCTGGCTGATATGGGCCCTGAGTCTAACCTGCCATATAACCCAACTCAAAGCAGATATTGTGGATGATGTGCCATAATATTCTGAATTATGTGGCTCTGAGGAAGGGCCTTGAAGTCTACGCAGGCATGGACCAAATCTAGCAGTCCAGGTATATTGAAGTCTACGCAGGCGTGGACCAACTCCAGCCCTCCAGGTGTTTTGGACTCTTAACTCCCACAATTCCTAACAGCCTTCCAGATACTGTGGATGATCTACCTCAATATTCTGGGTTACATGGTTGCATGGAAGGGCCCTAAGACTACCCTGCCATATAACCCGGCTCAAAGCAGATATTGTGGATGATCTGCCTTGATATTCCAGGTTATATGACTGTGAGGATGAGCCTTGAAGTCTATATTGCCATCTAACCCAACTCAAAACAGATACTGTGGATGATCTGCCTTGATATTCTGGGTTATATGGCTGTGAGGATGAGCCTTGAAGTCTACACTGCCATCTAACCCAACACAAAACAGATATTGTGGATAATCTGCCTTGATATTCCGGGTTATATGACTGTGAGGATGAGCCTTCAAGTCCAAAACACCTGGAGGGCCCAAGTGGTCCATGCCTGATCTACAGTGCCATACAACCCATCCTGTGGATGATCTGTCTCGATATTGTGGGTCATATGGCTGCATGGATTAGCCCTGAGCCTACCCTGCCATATAACCCACCCTGTGGGTGATCTGCCTTGATATTCTGGGTTATATGGCTGCGTGGGAGAGCTGTGAGCCTACCCTGCCCTATAACCCATACTATGGATCATCTGCCTTGTTATTCTGGGTCATATGGTCGCATGGAAGGGCCCTGAGCCTACCCTGCCATATAACCCATAGGATGGATGATCTGCCTTGATATTCTGGGTGACATGGCTGTGTGGAAGGGCTCTGAGATCACCCTGCCATATAACCCAAACTGTGGCTGATCTGGCTCAATATTGTGGGTCATATGGCTGCATGGAAGGGCCTTGAGCCTACCCTGCCCTATAACCCATACTATGGATGATCTGCCTTGTTATTTTGGGTCATATGGTTGCATGGAAGGGCCCTGAGCCTATGCTGCCATATAACCCATATTGTGGCTGATCTGCCTCGATACTGTGGGTCATATGGCGGTATGGAAGGGCTCTGAGCCTACCTTGCCCTATAACCCAGCTCAAAACAGATACTGTGGCTGATCTGCCTTGATATTCTGGGTTATATGCCTGCGTGGAAGGGCCCTGAGCCTTCCCTGCCATATAATCCATCCTGTGGATGATCTGCCTTGATATTCTGGGTTATATGGCTGTGTGGAAGGGCCCTGAACCTACCCTGCCCTATAACCCAGCTCAAAATAGATTCTGTGGATGATTCTGTGGATGATCCGCCTGCGTGGAAGGGCCCTGAGCCCACCCTGCCATATAACCCATCCTGTGGATGATCTGCCTTGATATTCTGGGTAATATGCCTGCATGGAAGGGCCCTGAGCACACCCTGCCCCATAACTCAGCTCAAAACTGATACTGTGGCTGATATGCCTCGATATTCTGGGTTATATGGCTGTGTGGATAAGCCCTGAGCCTACCCTGCCATATAACTCATATTGTGGCTGATCTGCCTCGATATTGTGGGTCATATGGCGGCATGGAAGGGCTCTGAGCCTACCTTGCCCTATAACCCAGCTCAAAACAGATACTGTGGCTGATCTGCCGTGATATTCTGGGTTATATGGCTTTGTGGATGAGCCCTGAGTCTACCCTGCCATATAACTCATACTGTGGATGATCTGCATTGATATTCTGGGTTATATGCCTGCGTGGAAGGGCCCTGAACCTACCCTGCCCTATAACCCAGCTCAAAACAGATTCTGTGGATGATCCGCCTGCGTGGAAGGGCCCTGAGCCCACCCTGCCATATAACCCATCCTGTGGGTGATCTGCCTTGATATTCTGGGTTATATGGCTGCGTGGAAGGGCCCTGAGCCCACCCTGCCCCATAACTCAGCTCAAAACAGATACTGTGGCTGATCTGCCTTGATATTCTGGGTTATATGACTGTGTGGAAGCCCCCCCCCCCCCCGAGCCTACCCTGCCATATAACTCATACTGTGGATGATCTGCCTTGTTATTCTGGGTGACATGTCTGCGTGGAAGGGCCATGAGCCCACCCTGCCCCATAACCCATCTCCAAGCAGGTCTGGCTGGGTCGAAGGGCCCGCTATCACCCGAGTGGACGACAACCAAGTGGAGAGATGGTTGGCTTTGGCGGAGAGGGGTGAGGAAGGGGCTGGGGGCCTGTCTTCCCCCAAAACGGGAAGCGAGGGGCCCCCGCCTGCGGAGTCTTCTTGTGGGTGTCCCCCCGGGGTCAGAGGTCGCGGCAGTCGCCTTTGGGCCCGGCCCCCGCCCCCCCGTAGGCCTCGTGGGGCGGGCCGGCTCCGGCCGCGCCGTTCTCCCCGGGCGGCGTCATGCGCTTCTCCTTCTGCCTCCGGTTGCAGAACCAGACGCGGACGACTTCCTTCTCGAGCTGGAGGCTGTCGGCGAGGGCGGCGATCTCCTGGGCGGCGGGCTTGGGGCACTTGAGGAAGTGGGTCTCCAGCACGCCCTTGACGGAGACCTCGATGGAGGTGCGCTTCTTCCTCTTGCGGCCCTGGGCGGCGATCTTGTCCAGGCCCGTGGGGCTGCCCGTGGACGAGTCGGCCTCTTCCAGCCACTTGTTGAGCAGCGGCTTGAGCTTGCACATGTTCTTGAAGCTGAGCTGGAGGGCCTCGAAGCGGCAGATGGTGGTCTGCGAGAAGACGTTGCCGTAGAGCGTGCCCAGCGCCAGGCCCACGTCGGCTTGCGTGAAGCCCAGCTTGATGCGCCTCTGCTTGAACTGCTTCGCGAACTGCTCCAGCTCGTCGGAGGTCGGCGTCTCCTCGTCGGAAGGGTCGCCCGGGTGGCTGTTTAACCCGTCGTGAGGCTCTGGAAGCAGCGCCGTCTGGACGTTGCTGCTATTCGGGACGGGATTGGGTGCCGTCGGGGGAGGGCTGAGCCCGCCGTGGTCCAGCATCGTCCCCACGCCGAACCCGCCCTGCGAGTAGACATTCCCGGGCTGCTGGTTCGGACTGGCGGCCCACGCGCTTTGTAAATGTCCCCCTCCCCCGGCGTTGCCATGATGGTGGTTCCCGTGAGGCGAGCGGTGGTGCAAAAGCCCCCCCAGCTGCTGCAAATCCTCCCTCCCCGGCTTGATGTCCGGCTGCTCGGCCAAGCTCGACGCCCACGGTCCGGCGTCGCTCAAGCTGGTGACCCAGTGGTGTCCCAAGGGGTGCCCGTTGCCTTGCAGGTAGTCGCTCTGGAGCAGCTTCTGGTGGTGGCCCCGGAAAGGGCCCCCCTGCGCCATCCCCGGCGGCGCGGCCTCGGCGTGCACCAGCAGGCTGTACGGGTTGGACGCCGCCGTGGCCATGGCTCCTCCGCTGCGTGGCCCAGGCTCCTCTGGCGGAAAGAGCCGCCGCCGCCCGCCTTTGACATCTCTCTCTCCCCCAGCCGGGAAACGGGTAGGCAGGGCGGCAGGCGCCCCCGGAGCCCGCCCCGCCACCGCCCCCCTCCACGGCCGCGCCGCCAATCCCCGCGCGAGAGGGAGCGCCGCGCAGCCAATCCCGGCGCCGCCCCAGACGGACGGGGGGGGGGGAATCCTCCTACTCATCATCAAGGAGGGAGGGAGGGAGGGGGGAGCACGGCGCGGCGCCCCGGGCAAGGAAGGGTTACAGCCCAAGGAGGAAGTGGCGCCCCATTGGCTGGAGCTGGGAAGAGTGGGCGGGGCTTCATCCTTCCGTGGGGGGGGGGGGCTCGCTTGCCTTGGTTCGAAGTTTGGCTTCAGGGAGTTGGGTTTTTTTTCAAGCCGTGGATGGTCGAATCCGCGGATACGGGGCCCCCAGTCAATTTGTATATACACACACATACATATGCATACATATAAATAGATATATTACATACACACATATATACACACATATACACATATACAAATATATAAGGTCAGTGACTGGACTGACCTTGAAGGAGCTGGGGGTGGTGACGGCCGACAGGGAGCTCTGGCGTGAGCTGGTCCATGAGGTCGCGAAAAGTCGGAGACGACTGAACGAATGAACACACACACACACACAAATATATTACAAGTACATAAATGACACATAAACACATACAAATATATGACATATACATACAATATAAATGCACACATATACAAATATATATTACATATATGCACACATATATGTTACCTATACACACAATATACAGATATACAAATATATTACAAGTACATAAACACATACAAATATATGACATATACATACAATATAAATACACACATATACACATACATGTTACATATATACACACATATATGTTACATATACACACAATATACACATATACAAATATATTACAAGTACATATATTACACATAAACACATACAAATATATGACATATACATACAATATAAATACACATATAAACACACATATACATTACATATACACACATATATACACATATACAAATACATTACAAGTACATAAATGACACACAAACACATACAAATATATGACATATACATTACATACAATATAAATACACATATATACGACCATATACAAATATATATTACATATACACACACATATGTTACATATACACACAATATACAGATATACAAATATATTACAAGTACATAAATTACACACAAACACATTACAAATATGACATACATACAATATAAATGCAGATATAAAAATACATATACAAATATATATTACATATATATATACATTACATATACACACATATATACAGATATACAAATACATTACAAGTACATAAATGACACACAAACAAATATATGACATATACATACAATATAAATACACATATATACACTCATATACAAATATATATTACATATATACACACACATATGTTACATATACACACAATATACAGATATACAAATATATTACAAGTACATAAATTACAAATATATGACATATAGAAATCTATATACAAATATACATATACAAATATATGACATATAGAAATCTATATTACACATTCAGACATACAAATATATGACATATACATACAATATAAATACACACATATATACACTCATATACAAATATATGTTACCTGTGCACACAATACACACACACACATATATATATATACACACACATACACACATACAAATATATATTACATATACACACAATACACAGACATATATACACATACATTCACACATATACATTACATATACACATATTTCTACAAATACAAATACATGTTACATATACACATATATATTACATATATACACAAGGATGTATATATACAAATATATGTTACATATACACAATATATACACACAAATATATATATTTACACATATACAAATATATATTACATATTCACACCCACATATATGTGCAACAGACACACACAAATATATATATATATACACACACATACATATACATACACACATACACCAATGTATGTTTCACCTCCATAATGGCAATGGTGAAAACTAAGTTAGTGCATTTCTCTGCAAGGGTCAATGTTTTATTATTATTATTATTATTATTATTATTATTATTATTATTATTATTATTATTATTATTCCGCTCTTTTCTCTTATTTTAATGGTTTCATCACGAGTTAGCCATCCCATCTGAAATGGCAATTCAAGTTCTTTTTATCATTTCCGTTATTGGGGGAAATGGCAAAGGATAACAACAATATTATTAATAATTCTGGGATTATATACTGTTAAGAGCATATATATAGTCTATAGAGATTTTGAGACACCCTGTACGCCAGGTTTCAGATCTGTATAGGAGAGGGAGAGGAGAAAGAAAGAAAGAAAGAAAGAAAGAAAGAAAGAAAGAAAGAAAGGGAAAAGGAAAAGGAAAGGGAAAGGGATGGAAAGGAAAAAGAAAGAAAGAAAGAAAGAAAGAAAGAAAGAGAAGGAAGGAGAAAGAAGGAAGAAAAAAGAAAGAAAGAAAGAAAGAAAGAAAGAAAGAAAGAAAGAAAGAGGGAAAAGGGAAGAAGGAGAAGGAAGGAAGGAAGGAAGGAAGGAAGGAAGGAAGGAGGAAGAGGGAAAGGAAGAGAAAAGGAAAAAGAAAGGATGGATGGAAGGAAGGAAGGGAAGGAAGGGAGGAAAAAAAGAAAAGAAAGAAAGAAAGAAGGAAAGGAGGAAAAAAAGAAAAAGGGAGAAAGAAAGAGAAGGAAAGGAAAGAAGGAGAAAGAAAGAAAGAAAGAAAGAAAGAAAGAAAGAAAGGAAAGAAAGAAAGGAAAAGGAAAGGAAGGAGGAGAAGGAAGGAAAGAGGGAAGAAGAAAAGGAAGAAAGAAAGGAGGAGGAAGAAGGAAGAAAAAGGAAAAGAAAGAAGGGGAAAGGAAGGAAAAGAAAGGAAAAGAAGGGAGGAAAGAAGGAAGGAAGAAGGAAGGAAGGAAGGAAAGGAAGGAAGGAAGGAAGGAAGGAAGAAGGAGGAAGAAGGAAGGAAGGAAGGAAGAAAGGAAAGAGAAGAAGGAAAGGAAGAAAAAGGAGGGAGGAAGGAAGGAAGGAAGGAAGGAAGGAAGGAGGAAAGGAAGGAAGGAAGGAAAGAAAGAAAGAAAGAAAGAAAGAAAAAAAGAAAGAAAAAAAGAAAGAAAGAAAGAAAGAAAGAAAGAAAGGAGAGAAGGTAAGACAGAAGGAAGGAAGAAGAGAAAGAAAGGGAGAAGGAAGAGCAGAAAAGAGGAGGCGAGGGCATGGTTTAAATTTGTAGTGATTAATTCCAGGTAGAAGCCCCCCGAAATCCAAACTGGGGGAAGAAGAGGAGGAGGAGGAAAAGGCGAAGAGAGGTTAAATACCTGCCTCCTCCTTGGCCAAGTTTCTAGGGAGCCCCCCCCCCCTCCTTATGAATGTCAAGGCAATCTGAAAGTAATTGAGAGATATGTTTGGGAAGGAGAGGGGGACCAAGCAGATAGACAGACGTCTTCGATCTTATATACAAATATACAAAAGTGGGGCATGGTTTGGGGGAAGAGAGGTCTGTCTGGGCATGAAGGGAGAGGGAGAAAGAGAAAGAAGGGAGGGAGGGAGGGAGAGAGAAACTGCACCTCTTCCATTTTTTCCAACACAATGTCCTTAAAGGAAGAAAAGAAAGAAAGAAAGAAAAGAAAGAAAGAAAGAAAGAAAGAAAGAAAGAAAGAAAGAAAGAAGGAAAGAGAGAAAGAGTTTCGTTCCTTTTGCCCCCCTGCCCTTTCTCTCCAGGGAATGAGGCTGCAACCTTGGGTTTGCTCTAACTCTCTTTTCTTGAGGGGGGGGGGGGAGAGGGAGAGAAGCAGTGGGTTAAACTCCATCCCTTTAATTCAAATGCAAATCTGGAGGCTTTGCAAAGGAGGAGAGGGCATAGACACAGCCAAGGAAAGCTAGCCAAGCCAGTAGCCAATGGCGGATGTTGTGTGTCTTTTGAGACATATATTTATTCATAACATATAAGAAGGCAAGTTAAGTGACAAATATAAAAAAGGAGAAAGCAGAGTTTAATGTTTGTCAATCTATTTTGTGCCTTAAACGCACACAGATACAATGCACAGTTTGGCCAATTTGTGGGGAGACATTGGAATACTTTCTAATGAGATCTTGTATGTATATTTGCATGTATTGTCGAAGGCTTTCATGGCTGGAATCACTAGGTTCTTGTGGGTTTTTTCGGGCTATAGAGCCATGTTCTAGAGGCATTTCTCCTGACGTTTCGCCTGCATCTATGGCAAGCATCCTCAGAGGTTGAGAAGGTTGACCTGGAATATTGTGTCCAATTCTGGGCAAGGCCTTCAAATGCTAATGAAGGTGATCAGCTAAACATTCACACCTAACTGCAGCACGGAAGAGCTCCTTGCCCCACCCCAGCCATTCCACAGATATATAAACCCATTTTTCCTACTTCCAACAGACCTTCTCTACCTCTGAGGATGCTTGCCATAGATGCAGGCGAAACGTCAGGAGAAATGCTCTAGAACATGGCTCTATAGCCCGAAAAAACCTATATTTGCATGCTTTACAAATCTATTCCTATACATGCCTTTATCTCTTATCTATCTGGATCTGGGTATAAAATCCGGATGATCTGCTCTGAACCGGACTATAGGGCAGTGTAGACTCATATAATCCGGTTCAAAGCATGTAGAGGATCTGCTTGGATAAATAGTTTGGATTGTGGAGGAAAAAAAGCGGGGTATCAATAAACAGGATAGTAATGATAATAAATATAATAATAAATATAAAAAATAATAGGAAATATAACAATAAAAATCTAAATATAAAAATAATAGCAAACATAAACATAATAATAAATATAAAAATAATAGGAAATATAACAATAACAATACTGAAAACTAAATATAAAAATAATAACATAAACATAATAATAAATATAAAAATAATAGGAAATATAACAATAATAAATATAATAATAAATATAAAAATAATAGGAAATACAACAATAACAATAATAAAACTAAATATAAAAATAATAGGAAATATAACAATAATAAATATAATAATAAATATAAAGGCAACAAATATAACAATAAGAAGAAATATAGTAACACATATAAATATAATAACAAATATAACAATAATAATACATAAAATATAATAAATATAACAATAATAACAACAAAAATAAATATAATAAAATAACAACAACAGTAATCTATCTCTTTCCAAACGTGTACGAAGTGGCAAATAGGAGAAACAGTAACAAAAGGGAGAAAGAAAGCAGTGTGTTGTCGAAGGCTTTCATGACCTCACAACCCCTGAGGCTGCCTGCCATAGATGCGGGCGAAACGTCAGGAGAGAATGCTTCTGGAAAATGGCCAGACAGCCCAGAAAACTCACAGCAACCCAAAGAGAGCAGTGTTTCCCAATTTATTTTGTGGATTAAACACGCACAGACTGGACAATTGTGACAATAACTTGGAATAATAATGATTGTTATTATATTTATTTATTTATTAATTAATATATTGTTATTAATATAATGATGATGATGATGATGATCATCATCATCATCATCATCATCCGCTTTTACTGCGTGTGTGTCTCAAGGCAGGGCACAACATAGTCCAATGTATGTGAAAAGATAGTTAAATAGTGACTACACCCATCAAAACATATATTAAAACACACGAGGCCACAGTGAAAACACAATATGGGATTTTAGAATGCAGAGCTCAACTACTTCTATCACTCCTTCCCCAGTTTCGATTGAGAAGGGTGAGATGTTTTGGTTGCGTCTGTATGTGTGTATATCTATTTCCCACTTGTATGTATTTATGTATGTGTGTGTGTTTATTTATATACACACACATATGCATACATATACACATACACACACACATATATATACATACATATACATATATTTTCACATTCGATTGAGAAGTGTGAGATGTTTTGGATGTATCTGTATGTGTGTATATCTATTTCCATGTATGTATTTATGTATATGTGTATATATAAATGTTATGTATATATGTGTGTTTGCGTGTGTGTGCAAATTCAATTGAGAAGGTGAGATGTTTTTGATGTATCTGTATGTGCGTATGTAAATATATGTATATGTCTGTGTGTGTGTGTGTGTGTGTGTGCAAATTTAGCTGAGAAGTGTGAGATTTTTTGGATGTATCTATGTGTGATATTTCCACTTGTATGTATTTATGTGTGTGTGTATGTTTGTGTGTGTGTGTGTGTGTGTGTATATATTCATATATGTATGTGTGTATGTGTGCAAATTCGATTGAGAAGTGTGAGACGTTTTGGATATATCTGTATGTGTGTATATCTGTTTCCATGTATGTATTATATATGTGTGTATATGTAAATGTATGTATATATGTGTGTGTGCGTGTGTGTGCAAATTCAGTTGAGAAGTGTGAGATGTTTTGGATGTATGTGTGTATATATATCTATTTCCACTTGTATGTATTTATGTATGTGTGTGTATATATATATATGTATTTATATATGTATGTTTGTGTGTGTGTGTGCAAATTCAATTGAGAAGTGTGAGATGTCTTTGATGTATCTGTATGTGTGTATATCTATTTCCACTTGTATGTATTTATGTATGTGTGTTTATGTATGTATGTGTATATATATATGTATGTATTTACATATGTATGTATATATATGTATTTACATATGTATATATATGTATGTGTGCAAATTCAATTGAGAAGTGTGAGATGTTTTGGATGTATCTGTATATCTATTTCCACTTGTATGTATTTATATATGTGAATATATGTATTTATATATGTATGTATGTATGTTTGTGTGTGTGTGTGTACATATATATGTATTATATATGTTTGTGTGCAAATTCGATTGAGAAGTGTGAGATGTTTTGGATGTATCTGTGTGTGCATATATCTATTTCCACTTGTATATATTTATGTAGGTGTGTGTGTGTGTGTGTGTGTATATCTACTTCCACTTGTATGTATGTATGTATATATGCAAATGTGTAGGAAGAAATGACAAATAGGTGAAACAATGGCCAGAAAGAGGGCGGGGAGAGCCCTGCTTCCCAGTGTGTGTTTGTGACTCCAGCCAGGCAGAGTGGCCAATTGGAATGCCTGAGACTGCAGAGCTCCTTCCTTTCTTCCTTCCCCAGTTTAGACAAGTGTGTAATGTGTGTTTGCAATATATATGTATTCAAAACCTGTAAGAAGACAGGACAAATATATGAAACAATGGTAAAAAAAAAAAAAAGGGAGGAGGCGTGGAGAGCCGTGTGTTTGCGGTGCATTTTGTGCTTGAGAGGCACACTCATTTGTCCCTTTCCCCCCATTGTGTCTCCTTCTCTCTCTCTCCTTCTTCCAAATGGAGAGAAGAAGAAGAAGCAGCAGCCTTGTTGGAGTTGTTGTCGCCTTCCAGCTGAGAAAATGAACGCCTAATACCTTCGGAAAGGAATTAAAAAAGGGGGCTGGAGGGATCTCTGTCTGAAGAATATCAAGAACCGGGAGAATTTTTGAAAATAATAGAACATCATCTAATAATAATGACCTTTCCTTGCCTAATTTCCTCGCTTGCCTTGTGCATCCCCTTCCCCGTTTCCCCCCCTTATTGGTTTGAAATTCCATTAAATATATTGCAGGAGCGCCTAGGTTAAGCTTGATTTAAATTTGCATACATTTTCATCTGTTTAGCCAGAAATAAAAGAAGGCTTGCAGCTCCCCGAAAGTCATTAAGGCATTAAGTTCTCTGGGAAGGAGAAGGAGAAGGAGACAGATCTGGAGGAGGGGGAGAAACAGAGAGAGAGAGAAAGAGGAAGGAGGACCAAATTCCCCCCAAAACAAGGTGAGCCCCTCTCTCCCTCCTATTCTTCTTTCCTTACGTCTCTCTCTCTCACCCTCTTTCTCTTCTTCTACACTTTGGGGCTGTTTTCCTTCCTCTCTGCAAAGGAAGAAAAGTTGCCATCTCATCCATCTCAAAAGTTGGGAAAGTTTGGAGTTCTGATAGTTTTGCCACAGAGTTTCTAGTCGGGAAGAAATAAATCGTGTTGGACGTTTGGAAAATCCAGGCGTGGGTTTTGTGTTGCTATTTAGTTTCTTTGTGTGTGTATGTGTGTCAGGAGCAGCTTGAGAAACTGCAAGTCGCTACTGGTGTGAGAGAATTGGCCGTCTGCAAGGACGTTACCCATCCTGTGGGAGGTTTCTCCCATGTCCCGGCAAAGGAAGATTCTGCCAGCTAGAGCTGACAGAAGGGAGCTCACCCCATCTCGCAGATCCGAACTGCCAACCTTTCAGTCAGGACAAGGTTTCAAAGAAAGGCAGGCAGGTAATAACAATCCCATTTAAATCAAGAGATGTTTTCGAGGCTTCTCTCATGTCCCGGCAAGGGAAGCTAGAGCTGAAAAACATCCGAATGGCTGTCTACAGGGACGTTGCCCCGAATGCCCGGATGTTTTACCATCCTGTGGGAGGCTTCTCTCCTGTCCCGGCCAGGGAAAACATCCCGTGGGAGGTTTCTGCCAGCTAGAGCTGACACAATGTGGCTCACCCCATCTCGCTCATCTGAACTGCCAACCTTTCAGTCAGGACAAGGTTTGAAAGAAAGGCAAACAGACAATAACAATCCCATTTATAGTTTTGCCACAGAGTTTCTGATCGGGAATAAATAAATCAAGAGATGTTTTTGAGTTGGACCTTTGGAAAAGGCAGGGGTGGGTTTTGTTTTCCTTTTTCGTTTTTTGTTTCTGTGTCAGGAGCGACTTGAGAAACTGCAAGTCGCTTCTGGTGTGAGAGAACTGGCTGTCTGCAGGGACGTTCCCCAGAATGCCCGGATGTTTTCGAGTTGGACCTTTGGAAAAGGCAGGGGTGGGTTTTTTTTCCTTTTTAGTTTTTTGTTTCTGTGTCAGGAGCGACTGGAGAAACTGCAAGTCGTTTCTGGCGTGAGAGAATTGGCTGTCTGCAGGGACGTTGCTCCTAATGGCTGTCTGCAGGGACGTTGCCCCTTATGCCCGGATGTTTCACCATCCTGTGGGAGGCTTCTCTCATGTCCCGGCAAGGGAAGCTAGAGTTGAAAAACATCCTGTGGGAGGCTTCTGTCAGCTAAAGCTGACATAGGGGAGCTCACCCCATTTCGCTGATCAAAATTGCCAACCTTTCAGTCAGGACAAGGTTTCAAAGAAAGATAGGCAGACAATAACAATCCCATTTATGGTTTTGCCACAGAGTTTCTGGTTGGGAATAAATAAATCAAGAGATGTATTCGAGTTGGATCTTTGGAAAATTCAGGGGTGGATTTTGTGTTGCTATTTAGTTTCTTTTTTGTGTGTCAGGAGCAACTTGAGGAACTAAAAGTCGCTTCCGGTGTGAGAGAATTGGCCGTCTGCAGGGACGTTCCCCGGGGGTTGTTACCGTCCTGTGGGAGGCCTCTCTCACGTCCCGGCAAGGGGGGGGGGGTGTTTTCCTTTTTTGTTTTGTGTCAGGAGCAACTTGAGCTACCGCAAGTCGCTTCTGGTGTGACAGAATTGGCTGTCTGCAGGGACGTTGCCCAGGGGATGTTACCATCCTGTGGGAGGCTTCTCTCGTGTTCAGGCATGAGAAGCTAGAGCTAACACGTCTTGCAGATTCGAACTGCGAATCACTGGGTTGCTGTGAGTTTTCCGGGCTGTATGACCATGTTCCAGAAGCATTCTCTCCTGACGTTTCGCCTGCATCTATGACAGACATCCTGAGAGGACTCACAACCTCTGAGGATACCTGCCATAGATGCAGGTGAAACGTCAGGAGAGAATGCTTCTGGGGACATGGCTATACAGCCCTGAAAACTCACAACAACCCTGTCAGTCCGACACAAGGGTTGAAGAGAAACCGGGCAGATAATAACAATCCTTACAAAAATCCGAAACAAATCGAATTCTTTACATTGGAGGAAATATTCACTTCTATTATGAGATCCAAAAGCAAAACAATTCTTCTTCTCGGTGGGGGATCCTAGCACAGTTTGACCACAGGTTCAAAACCGGAACTGTTCCGTGTTTGACCGCCTCCTCTGTTTGTCCTCCTCTAAAAACCTTGGAATTTCCCAAATTCGTTGCTATCAGAGGGAAATCTGCAGCAAAAGCGTCCACATTGTCGAATTAACACGGTTTAACACCACTTTATCCTCCCAGGCTCATTTCTAGGGCATCCTAGAAGTCGCAGTGAAGCAGAGGACGCTGGAGACGTTTGGGAAATGACTTTTTGTGTGTGTTAGAAGCAACTTGAGAAACTGCAAGTCACTTCTGACCGTCTGCAAGGAGGTTGCCCAGAGGATGTTTTCCCATCCTGTGGGAGACTTCTCTCATATTTTCCCATCCTGTGGGAGGCTTCTCTCATATTTTCCCATCCTGTGGGAGGCTTCTCTCATATTTTCCCATCCTGTGGGAGGCTTCTCTCAGGTCCCCCGCGTGAGAAATGACTTCTCCCGGGATTCCATAGCAATTGAGCCATAGCAGTTAGTGAGGTATAGATCTGCGTTAACTCTGCAGTGTAGATGCACTCTTGGAAGGGTTTGCTAGGGGGTGTATCATATCAACTTGCAAATCAATAACAGTCCAAATCAAAGATGTGTTCGAGTTGCAGTTGTACTGTTCCATTTGTATACGTGTGTGTATATACAACAACAACAACAACAACACTTTAATTATATTCTCCCTAGGGGACTCAGAGCTGATTACAGCATATAGACAAACATTCAATACTACTACTACTACCACCACCACTACTACTACTACTACTAATAATAATAATATATTATAATTATATATTTACATCACATGTAATATTACTAATAATATTACACAATAATGGTATAGTACAGTATAGTAATATTTAATACTGATATTGTACTATGCTAATAATATAATATATTGTATGTATATATATATATCTTGTAAGCTGCTCTGAGTCCCCTTCAGGGATGTCGTAAATAAATAAATACATAAAATATATATCCTTGCAAATGAGTCTCTCTCTCAACACATATTTGTTGCCTTGGTGCTGTTACTCATTTGCCAAGATTGTATACACACAGGGAGATAGAATCTTGCAAATGAGTAGCAATCCAATGCAAAAACAACAACAACATATGTATATGTGTGTTGCTATTGTCCTGATAGTCATTTGCAGGGCTATTAATATGTCTCTTATTTGCAAAAGTATGTATGTATGTACTGTGTGTGTGTGTGTGTGTACATATATAAACCTTTAGGAGGAACTTCCTGATGCTAAGAGCTGCTGGGCAGTGGAATATGCTGCTGCCTTGGAGTTCTTTTTCAACAAGAGGGTGGATGGCCATCTGCTGGGAGGGCTTTGGTTGTGTTCCTACATGGCTAGGGGATGGACTGGATGACCCTTGGGGTCTCTTCTAACTCTAGGATTCTATGAGGAAAGCTTCCAAGAAAGCAAATGCACCGTTCACTCATTTGCTAGATGATATAGTGTGTATATGTGCATTCTATTTTAATGTTTGTAGATGGGTAGATTGTAAATTGTATTGAATTGCTTTTAATGTAAGCCTTTCTGAATCTCCAGTTGTAGAGAGAGAAAGTAGGGCATAACTAAACATAATAATAATAATAATAATAATAATAATAATTATTATTATTATAATAAGAAGAAGGTGTGTGTGTGTGTGTGTGTGTGTGAGTATGGGGGAGAAGGGGGTATAAATATAGGAAATAAATAAATAAATATCTGTGTTTGTATATGTATATATGTATCCACTTCAAAGCAGATTATGTGGATTATTGTTTTGATAATGTGGATTATATGGCACTGTGGAAGGGGCCTTGGGGCCCTTCTGGACAGGCCCTATATCCCAGGATCTAATCCCAAATTTCTTGCTTTAAACTGGATATATGAGTCCGCACTGCCAAATAATCTGGGATAAGATCCTGGGACATAGGGCCTGTCTGGGAGGCCCTTCCACACAGCCACATAACTCAGAATATCAAGGCAGAAAATCCCACAATATCTGCTTTGAAAAGGATTATCTGAGCCCACACTGCCAGATAATCCACTTTTCAGCACTGGAGTTCTCCCATCCAAGTACTAATCAGAGGTGACCCTGCTTAGGTTCCAGGATTATAATAGATATAATAATATCTATTACATTATGTTATACTATATATTTTACAAGTGTGTGTATATATCTATATACACACACATATAAATATAAACATGTTTGTATATGAGTATATGTATATACACATATACACATAAATGTATATGTGTAAGTTTGCAAATGCAGGAAATGTATTGTGTGTGTGTTTTGCATTTGTACTGTTACCCATTTGCAAGAATGTGTGTATATACATGTACATGTGCATAGGTATGTGTATATAATATATGTATTGTATATGTGTATATATACACATACATATACATGTGATATGTATATGTGTATATATAATATATGTATGTGTATATACACATATAGACATACATGTACATATGTATAGGTATGTGTGTGTATACATATGTGTGTATATGTATATATATAAATGCACACATCCATGTGTATATGTATGTGTATGTTTATGAATATATATATATATACACACACACACAATTGCAAATGGGTAACAGTACAAATGCCAAACACACACACATATACACATTACCCATTTGAAAGATAATGTGATAATGTGTATATGTATGTGTATATACAATAGATTTGTGTGTATATGTGTATATATACATATACTCATATACATACATGTTTATATTTATGTGAGTGTATAAATATATACACACACTTGCAAATGGGTAAGAGTACAAATGCAAAAGACACACATTTCTTGCATTTGA